ATATATATATATATATATTCTTATTTAAATTCCTCGTTTTCCTAATATAGCTTTTAAACACAGTTTCTCATATCTTATCATATATTTTTTTTGCGCTTCTGCATGTATCTCATCTCAGTACTTTTTTTCTCTTCTTTTCTCATTCCACTTTTCTCTCATATTATATTTCCACACTCTCGCTACATTTTATGACACGCACCGCGTCCTTCTCGCTTTTCACAGACATCTCCAGCGTAAAATAAGTTTCTCTCTTCCCATCATGTTCTTTAAGTCCTCTTCATCGTCGCTGGCATCAATATCTCTCCCGCTTTATCATTAATGTGGTGCAATTTTATCTCAACTACCATTCAGCTGGCGCATTAACAATTTTTACCACCATGTACTAGATCGACGCGCGCATCCATCCTCTTAACACGGACACGTAGAAATTTATACGTCTGCCGTTTAATCCGAACATTTGATGGATGTCCGCTTTACAACCGCCTCTTTCACCCGTTTATCGGCGGACGCCAGAAACGTGCACGCGAACGACTTCATTAACTGCGCGTGTACACGCGACGCTTGATTAAACCCTTTGGAGACTCTAGAAGATGCTCGATATGAGAAGAATTGTTAAGAAGGAGATTTGCGTCAAGGTTTTAGCCGCGATTGTTGTCGGTAATCGCATCCAACTAACGCAAAGCAATTTCTCTGAGTTTTAATCAGTTACATAATTTATTCTAACATTTTCGAACTTTATTTAAAAATAAAATTTCTCGTGTGATTTTTGTAATTTTACTTATTCAAACTATTTTCTTTCAAGTAATATTAAAGATGGCTACATAAATATAATCGAAATATTCATGAAGAAACTGTTTGGAATTTCATATAAATTTTATCAAATTAATATATTGATTATTAACAATTTACGCATCGTTTACCGCACTAACTCCTAATTAATTTAATTTTCCTTTTGAAATAATATTGATCTTTACAACGTACAATTTCTGTAAACATTTCTGATAATCTTCCTTTGAAACGAAATCTATATCTTATGATTTCTAAAATCGTGTTAAAATCTTGCTCTTTCAATTTCATTTCTAACTTTGAAAGAAGAAAATAATCAGGGAACTATAGATGAATACAATGGATAGTCAAAAACTAGAACACTCTTAAGTTCACTATTTGCTCGGTTTCACTATTTGCATGGTTTTCTCGACGAGCATCAAAAACCTATTCTCATTTTTAATTTCATAAATAAATAATGTAACGTAAAGAAACCCAACAATAGAGTTAGAAAAGTTTCGAAGAAGAGAATTCCATATTATTTCAATAGATATATAATGTAGAAAAAAAGTATAGAAACTTTTGAAATGGATCTTAATTCAAATTTTAAAAAGAAAGTGGACGCGGTAAAACTTAAATTACTTTCCGCTTTTTATATTTTATAATTACGTATATTTTGATTTAAAGGTATAAAAATTTAATCTAAAGATTTCTGATAAGATAAAAATACAGAGAATTTAAATTATAAGAAAAATTTAATACGGATATGTGTATAATACAAAAACATCTTCATACTCTTATAGAAATTTGATACTAACTCCAATTTATCAATTACTTAATATTCAAAGTAAATGATTAATTGATTAGTATTAAATTTTTAATAATTTCATTTCGATAGATTGTATTACATCCCTTGTCGCAAGAATCTTTGTGATCCTTGATGTTAAAACTACTTCTCCATCGATTTCCGTATGCTACTTTTGAGAGGTGTTTATATTTCCGGAAGATGGATGCGACTCATCAACTTCCGGAATGTTCTAATCTCAAAGTATAAAGGAATGGATGTATATATTGGCGAAAGAGCCGCCGTGCTGAAAGGAGGACAAGAGACGATTGGCTTTCAACGATAGATTCCAATACCATGAATGGACTTTTAAGCAGGCATGAATCAGTTCTCTTCTCTTTTCTTACCAGCTCTTCTACAACATCACTCTTACTATCTCCCTTCATGTGTTTTCCGTTGTCCCTCCGTCGACTGGTTCAGCTCGAATGTTTTCCCTTTCGACCCTCAATCCGTATTTTCTCCCTACTGCGTGGAAAACTGTCGCCCGAAACTATGTGCAATTCTTAACATACTGATCAATCGAACGCAATACATACATATAGAGTGAATAAAAATAAATGTTGTTTATCCAATGACATTTGTACAAAAAAATAGCAAGAATTAATTTTTGCATTTTCATAAAAATATTATGATAAAGGTGACACAATCTTGAGAAGAATTCTAACAAAGAAAAATTAATCTCAATACGACGAATCCGGCTTTTTTCAAAAAATTTAGTTTTTGTCAAAACTTTTTTATTTATTTTATTATTTATAATTATTTTACCAATAAAGATACATATACATTTACTTAATATCGTTGTATTTCTTAATGTTTGATGTTTTGATTGAATAAAAAATATGTTACAATATGTTCATTTTTATCAAAAATTATAAGTAAAATTGAGTATGCCGTACATAATGTATTGCATCCGTGATAAAATAATATATCATATGTCATTGAAAGATTATTGATGCTTATTAGAGATGAGATGATTAAATAATAAATAGATTGAATCTGTTGGCGTAGTTTCGAACTCTTTTTGAGTTCTTTATCTTGATAAAGATGAAATAAAAGTCTTTCTTTCAATTAGACTTGAACCTGAATCAGATACGTTCGATCCTTTTTGAAAACTAAAAACTTTGTTTCTCTGAAGCAAAAAACGTTTGTATAAAACAATAAAGTTGTAAAGATTGTAATTGTAAATTAAATATTATTAATTTTAAATAATATTAACAATATTATGTATTACTACAATTTTTATATTATGTTTTTTTAAACTAGTGTAACTTCATCCTTAGAAAGAGTTCGAGTACTACTTTTAAAAACTTCGATTTTTTATGATAAAAAGTTTCGAATCTTATAGAAACTCGTTCTAAAATTCGAAACTAAATAGAGAGAGTGGAGATTAATAACTTTATAAGTAATATATGAAATATTTCTTATGAATATCACTCAAACTTTAGGAAATAAAACTTGATTATTGGATTTGACTTAGATTTTTAAATGTGAATTAAACTTGATTTCCATTCATAATGCTTATATTCTAAAGATTCTAGATAGTGCAGAAAGAGTAGTTCAAAAAGAATGCAACTGTTATATGTTATTAATTTAGAATTCATTCATAGACATAAAAGGAATTCTTATTCTGAACAGATCTGAAAAGATTTCTTTTTGCATCTAAAAATGAACTCAGAATTTATAACATACGGCTGAATTCTTTTTGTTCTATCTGAGATTGCTTTCATAACTGGAACAATGAGTGAATAGAATCAATGGCCATTTATTGGAGGGATTTAACTTATTCCGAGACACTCCGATAGAAATCTTGCGATTCCCGCATCGATTTCTCGCTATGCTCGCACGGTACGCTAAGCTCACGCTCTCTGATGGATAATTCTGTTTATTGCAGATAAACTCGGGATGGTCACTCGGTCCGGAGCTCTGCGACATGTGGACTAGCAGCGACGTTCTGTGCTGCACAGCCTCGATATTGCATCTGGTGGCTATCGCGGTCGACAGATATTGGGCAGTCACCGATATCAATTATATACAGGTTAATTAACGCCGTTGCGGTTATCGAGAGGAAGTCGGAAATTGTCCGGGATACGATGCGAACGATACGGTCTTTGTTATCCGCTGTCGCTGACACTGCCACTTGCCACGCCACACGCCACGCCGCGAGATAGGGAAGAGCCGCGCGGGAGTTGACATAATCGAGATCGTGACGCGAACGGAACTACATATCGTCTCGCAAATCTCTTTGAATACCCAGAAGATCGCAACATATGGAAATACAATTTTATCAATTCGGGAATGATGTGCATAGGATTTCAATAGGATTTGACGCGCAAGAATCTGTGCATTGCACAAACTTTATATATATAAAACTTTATATAAAGTATCTGGGAAAATTTTCCATCGCTCGTTATAATTCTCCTTTTCCACAGATTTACACGTATTTTATAATCATTCGCAAAAATTTAATCTTCTTCTTTTCAGAAACTTTCTAAATTTTCAACACATTTTCAGTTTAAAATCCAGATGAACATCGTTTATTTTATTTTTCTATCTATCGAAAGTGTAATAAAAGTCCGATTCTTCCTCGATATTCAAGTCTACAAGACAGATATTTCAGTATACTCGGATCTATACATTTACTGCGAAATAAAGTCATGAAATCGCTCATAAATTTTCGTCGAAATTTGGGCGGAGGCAAATTCCTCTTTCTCTTTCTCGTGCGCGCAGGCTGATGTAACGAGAATTACAGGGAACACTGCTCATGAAGTATGAAAAAGGGTAAGACCGTAAAGCGAAACGACCAGGATATCCCGTCTATAAATATGTCTGACCGGTATGAGACGAATATGTTATGTAATGTCTTTGGTATATAGCCTCTCTCTTCTATGGATGGCTCCGAGTTAGTTCGGAATTAGCTTAAAGCTCGATAAGCTGCGTAGCGATCAGCCAGCTTGGTCGAATTTAATAGCTAACTTGCATTTCCCAACTGATGGAAAGAGGCGTGTATCGGCCCCTTAACTGGCAAGTCAATTATCTTACTATAATGGAGCATGTGAGAAATTGGCTTGAATTTATGTATCCGGCAAGGAGATATGCAGATAAAGCAGGCGCCGCAATTTTCTCAAACAAGCAGAATAATTATAAATTCTCTTTCTCTCTTCGTCTCTTAAAAAAATTAGGTGTACGAGCAAATCTAATTAAAAGTTTAATTTACTGACAATTTAATTTATTGACTGCAAGACAATGTTCTTAGTAATGCACGCGGTCTCGCGGGAAGTATAAAATTTATCGAAGCAATAAAGTATTATGTTCTAATTTTAGAGTAATTTTATAAAAATGCATAACGAAAATTTATATGGCATAATATTGGTAGCTTACACCACTATGTACAAAAAATATATTGTATCAAAGTAATTGCATCGTAAATATTTAAATGATATATACTAAAAATTACTTGAAACGTATATAAAAAAAAGTAAACGTTATTTCGTTATTCAGTTAATCTTAAAGATAAAACTTAGTTCAGTTAGTGATAAAGTTTACAGCTAAAAATAAAATGACGGAACATACATCATTAACGCTGCCTTCCCATTTTAAGGCGAGGAATCCGAGAAGAATCGGCATCCTGATCATCACCGTGTGGGTGGTATCCTTAGGAATCTCATTAGCGCCTCAGCTCGGATGGAAGGATCCTGATTATTTGGTCCGCATAGCCCAAGGGACGTGTCTTGTGTCGCAGGATCCTGCATATCAGGTGAGCGCTTCCGGAGAATTGCAAGCAGATCCAAAATACTTGATTAATATTCGTGACTATATATTATATAAATGCGCTCGTGTATTCTCGTGGAAGTATTAATACTTCGAAGAACGCATTCTTCGTTCTGCGTAATTACACAGAATTTTTAATTGCTCCTAATAGTCATTCACAAACATTCTCTTTCAGAAAAAAATCTTTCAGAGAAATTATAATACACATATCAGGACATCTCAATAGAAATTCATTTTTCATTATAGCGATATGAATGTCACCTAACTTATAATTTTTTAATATAAAGGTGTATGATATATTTATGATATATATTATTTTTAAAAAATATAATAAATTAAATATTATATAAATAAATCAAATAATTAAGTATAAAGAAAGATCGAAATAAGACCTTGGTGCCTAATCATTTTTATATATACATTTTAAATACATCTTCCGATTATATAAACTGTGCGATTATAATCAGACTTGAAACGCACATAAATTGAACTAAAATCATAATGTTATAAATTAAATTAATCATCAGTTTAAAAGTGTATATTATTTTACAGATTTTCGCAACTTGCGCGACGTTTTATGTCCCACTTCTAGTTATTTTATTCCTGTATTGGAGGATATTCCAAGCGGCGCGAAAAAGGATTAGGAAGAGACCTGGCACTATTCTTCAGCCGCCGCGTGAACGAAGGGGCATCCTCAGGCTCGTCACGAGAAGGTTGTAATCTTTTTTGTTCCCTTCCTAATGTCACGATGTCAGAATCTCTATCTAAATCTGAAAACGTGTAATCGAAGATGTCATCTTTCGTAATTGCAATAAACTTGGAGAGCTCGAGGAATAACAATGCGCTAAGCCACGTAGAATAAATCTCACAGTCGAGCTGCTGAGAAATAAATTCTTCACAAGATTTAGTTTGCTCCCCTAATATCTTGCCAGAGAACGCATTCTTTATGGAGTTCATAATTTAACTTGTAAATAAATATTTTTATAGCACGCAGTATTTTATCTCAAGTGACTTAGCATGCTCTTAAGCATTTTTATTTCAATGACCAGTGCAGGCCTTTACTACGAGAACAAAGGTATGATTTTACCTGTTGATCGTTCTATCGTAAAAAGAACATTATCACTGCTTAATTATATATCTTCTGAGCTCTATCGTTTTTAAAATAAATCATTTATTTTTAAATTTCAAAATAAGTGTTTGATATATATATATTATATATTATATATATATTAATCTGCCATAAATTCTTTACTAAATTATCATTAATATTATTGTATAATGATTTGTTTAATATCGCTCCGAAACAATACTATTGTAATTATTTATCTTCGAATAAATATAAATAATTTTACATCTTTCTATCATTTCTTTAGACTTCTATTAAATGGAGAATAATTTTTCCATTTGTTCATTTTGCTTCAAAATTCATCCAAAATTCACGAATTATAACTTTGCGCAACATATTATTTTTTCCCTAATTATTTCATATCAATTTTAATAATTATTATATATAACATAATAATTAGTTCTA